CCCCTCTCTTCTCCCCATTAGTCCGGTCGACCGCTCCTGCCAGGCCAAGGAGGCCAACTGCCGCCCCGCGAAGATCACGTTGCCCGTCATGCTGGCCGCGAAGCTGCCGTAGCGCATGTACGTGATGACATCTGCCTAGGACGACACACGCGGTTCACGCCGCCTCAAACAGCGCCTTGGACCGTTGGTTCGAAGAAAAAACCGCGTCCTGAGACGTAGGGCGCGTGCGGACGCGCCGTGCGGAGACGTTTTGGGGGTGTGGTGCTATGGCGTGGAACAATGAATTCATGAGCGATCCTTTTTATGACCACATGGAATACACCCGGTAAGTTGATTGTCGAAATTTGTTTCCCATGGTCCTAGCCATCTCACTCTTTCCTTTACGATGTATACGCGTGTTTAACAAAAAACTGTGGCCATCTAGTCCGCGGCTGAGACGACAACGGGTCGCTCCACGACGATCGTCAGAATTCCGGTGGTGCCGGCGGTTGCAGCAAGTTCGAATCGAGCCGTCCTCGACCGGCACGCCCAATCCATTAACAGGACCGGCAACGGCCGAATCGACATGTTGCTATCCTTCACTGTGAATCAGTCAAAAAAGCTGGATCTTTTCCGGAGTTCAAGATACATATCCAGCCAGGAAAGCTAGAACAAAAGCGGCCAGCCCCTGCAGCAAACAGGCAGGAAGCGCCATGGCCAGCGCTCTGCTTACAAACCTTTCATGTGCTTGGTGGCTTTCCCTTGACATGACCACCCTATGCGGCATAAATATACCAATGCCGATGCCCTAACCCACAAAGGGAAGACACATAGAGAACTCTTGACGCAGCGAATTTTGAGATAAATAACAATACATCATGGGTCACTCAATGAACATCATTGGTCAGCCCTCCAACAAACTCACCACACATGCCACACTAGGAGCCAAATTTGTGGGATGATCATGCAGGATGAGTCTGACACACACGCAATCACTGCCACACAATTCAGATCGTCCATCCGCGATGTTATCTGTGATGAGCCGCGCGCGGCTTTTGTCCATGCGTTCGTTCGCATGGCTGGGCGCATCGTCGCAGGGCGCATCGCTATGCCGTCGCATCGTTACGCCGGTCATGGCCATACCCAGTCTTCCAAGAGCATGAAAGAATGGCTCAGACTATGATTACTCGCTACTAGGAACAAGTGCATCGCTTCTAGTAACAAGTGCCTTACTAGTAGTAACAATGTTTGCCATTAGAAACAATAAATAACAAGACTGGAAAGTCTACCAAAACCTGAAGGATTCGCATGCTCGGAGAATGCTTGGAATCCTGGCATAGGTGAAACTGCTTCCAACTGGGCCTGTTTTTGTGCCTCGGTGGATGCGAATGGATTCCCTTTCAGGTCAAGTTGTCATCAATTGACGTGGCCCTTCTTTTCACTTTGGGGTCTTGAAATATAATGGGTTTAGGGTTTAGGGTTTAATATAATGATGTATACTTGCATTCTAGATCTGCAAGCAAGAGATGCCATCCTTCTGCCGGCGCCGTGATCCGGACGAGGGCACCGGCCATGGGAGCTCAACGGCCATGTTGCACATGGGGTGCCAAACTGAAGTCTCAAAGTTCGTTGAGCTCGAATCATTGACTATAATTAACTTCTTGAATGGGAGTCCAAGCTCATTAACCTCTTATTCCGCGAAACGGGCGGAATTCACGCCGCCGCCATTGTTTGCGGGGCGTTCAGGACAAACGGCTATACATCATCACCACATCTTACATGGCAGCCATCGGCTGCCGAATGAGACCCAACCCAGTGGTTGAATGCCTGCTAGCATGTAGCTAGGCTCTTGTACACTGCAAGGATTTCTGGAGACTTCCACAGCGACTGGGCAAAGGAAAAGCATTTGGTTTCAATCCCCCATCGAACAGGGTCAGTGAAGATAGCTGGTGGGAGACTTTGACCCGACAAGCCCAGTTGCTCCTGCCTACACATGCCGCTCCGATGGGGAACTCACGGAGTCATGTATCGCACGCCGCTTCCTGCAACACCACCGGCATTGTAGACTGACATTGTGCGGTTACTTCATCAATCTGCTGCAAAGCTACGGCACCTTCTTGAACAACAAAACTGTTTGCAATGTTCTGACCTTGGCATCAACGACCTGCCTGGCATGTCTCCTCCTCAGCCGTCAGAAAGCTCGCGTGAAAGGACACCTCCTGACAAGGCTGTGTGAAAGGACACTCTCTGAAGCCAGGAATCAAACACGAATCAACTCATACTCGCTGCACCCGAGTGGTCAACCCTGCACTCACTCCCTGTCTCTCTCTCTCTCTCTCTGAGATGAACCATGATAAAGCTGAAACCAAAGCTACCTGAAACCCCAAAAAAAACGCCACTGGCCTTTCACAACAGTTCTGGCATGTACGACGTAGCCACGGCCAGTAAGAACATGCAAGAAGGATGTCGAAACCTGTGGAACAACCTCAGCAGTTTGCAAAGCTATATTGCCCCACCCAAGGGTCTGCCTATCACGTGTCTTTGTGGGCGGGCGCCGCCACAAACAAAAAAAATATATATATAGAGATATAGATATATAGATATGGATATATTTATATATAGATATAGATATAGAGGTATAGATTTTTAAAACTATTTAATGATCTATACACACAATATACAATATACTATATATCTCAACAGGTTCATAATTAACTGGTGTCACACCACTCATCCGGTTCATATGTCTTCACAGAAGATTGCATAAGGAGCCGGAACAAAGACTAAATCCACACCTTGGCGGTACTAAGAAAAACATTCTCACTCTAACCCAGCACGGCCCTCTTGCCTCCGAGGTAAATGGAAGGATGTCTGACAAGGAGGGCGGCTCGTCCTTGGCAAGGCCCGTTCTATGGAATGCTCACAAGTGGAGGCTGTAAGACCTGATCTCTCTTCTGTGCCCTAGGCAAAGCAACTCCGACCATGTGCCTATATCTGCACTCAAGTAGACCAAATAATTAAATCTGCAAGATTCTGAATTCTTGTCTTTCCCATCGTATGTCCTTCACCCGATATATGCATGTGTTGAACACTTCCACTGTTAGGCCGCCTTGCACGACGATCGTTCAGTCATGGCACAACTCCAGCAAAGTCCAGCCGCAAGGATGCCAAATCCTCCATCCTGAGACCAACATTCTAGGATGATTGACGGCAGCAGTCCTTTCAGTGATCCAGGCAGCAGTCAAGCCGTTGTTGTCTAATTGTTCTCTAGACAAATGTAAGGCACACAAAAGTCATGAACACAAAACAACATGATCTCTCTCTCTCTCTCTCCACATTGCCCTCTCCAAGAGTTGTGTCATAATTGATCATTGTCGACCAAAAGGCGAGAGGGACAAGCACAAACAAACTCTGTCATCCAGCCAGGAGGACTCTCGAACAAATCCTGGAAGATCTGGGGAAAGTCCATAATATCACAAGTTATATTATATAATCATTTTTACTGGAAAATTGAGGGCACAAAGTTTGTGTCAGCTGGGCAGGGTCATGAGAAACAAAAAACAAAAAACTAGGATAGGAATAGCCAAACAATGTGACAAGGGGTGACTAGACTAGCGCGCGTAGGGGAATGAGGGTGGTTGACCCAATTCCTGTCTGGAGGGGGTGCTAGATTCGAAAAGCCAGTCTAAGATGAGACAGCCTCATTCCCCAACACCACATTCACCTGGATTCAGCGCCGAGTTGCGAGATTTCTCCACTTTCCCATGCACTTTCCACCGAGTAATCCTCGGATACAACGGCTGTGTGCCATGCGAAGCTTTTACGAGCAAATATCTTGTGACATCTGTTCAATACCTTCGATGCTGGTGACTGCTGCATTGCCTTAGGTTCTTGACATGTTGGTACTATAGCACCGCTGTGTGCAGTGAAGGTCAAAACGGAGTGATTTGGACTTGCTTGCGCACCAAGGCTCTATCGCGTGATCTGCAGATGCCAAATGCTTCCGTTTCCTTGGGGGACAAAATGACTGGTGCTAGCTTGGCTAGCTTGGTCCTCTTGGACAAAGAGTCGGCAAACATTGGTTCAGAACAGCACCAAGCAAATCTGAAGTAATTAGTTGCACAATTTGTTTGCACAACGTCCGATGATGCGCTTTCCCGACATCGACCTCGATTTTTGAGGAAAGGACTTGGAGCAAACCCCAAAATTAATTGAGCCGTGGAAGACCATGTTCTGCGAACCAGTGGTGCATCGCACGATGGTCTGTGCGGGTTGAAGCCCAAACCAAGCAGACGGAAATCTCCTTTTCCGCTGGACCACATCGACCTGCTACAATACTACCAGCAGTTCGATCAGTTCGACCTCCGTTGGTTTCAACCAGTCTGACGCCATGACCAGTGTACCCGCTCTTTTGGCACCTAGAAAAAGCAATGACTCAGGAACTTGAAATGGGAACATAGGGCTGGCTGTCTTAGCTCTTCAATTTACTTCTAGCTGTTCTTGTACCACACTCCGCCTTCATGAAGCATGTGGAGAATCTGCACCTTTGGGAGGCCGGCACTGTACAAGTCTGTACACTTGCTTCCTTCATGGCCGGTGATGCACTCGAGGTACTTCATGCATAAATAGAGGCCGCGCGGCCCACAGGTTGTTTCCTTGGGTTCCCCTACAGCTTGTCGGCTAGGACCTAGGATCCATGAGAACGTATGAGAACGTCTTATATTATTCCTCTGCTGCCTGGCACCACCTGCCATAGCAATCGAAGCAATTCATTCGCAGGGAGATGAGAAAAAAAACACATCTTTCTCTGGCCAACGCGACGAAGATCCCGGAGCTTGCGGCTGGCTCTATTGGCAGCGCATCTTGTGCACACCAAGGCATTGAAAGATACCGGGAAGAAGTCCAGACGCATAGGACCCCACATCACCGGATTTTGTTTTGAGAACTTGGAGCTATGCAAACAACGAAGTGAGGACTCATCCCAGGGTTGGACCAATGGACTCGACCCCCTTCATACCCTACTTACGATCACGTCACTGCAGCCTGGACTGTTTTCCCTTCTGATTCTTCCGGCCACCCCGGGTTTTCTGTGCAAACATCTTGGCTGGCTTGCTCTTCTTCGGCTCCTTTCGCGGCGGATTAGAACGGGCAGAAACAAACCAAGGGATACGAAGAGACCCGCCGCGGAGCCCACAGGGAGTATCCAAATCGGTGGTTGGGGCCCATGGTGTTTAAAAGCTGTCCAAAAGTCTCAACCAAAATGCACAAGCACATCAGATACGTACAACTCACTCGATGGGAAGACTTCAGCGATATAGTCTGGCAGGCAACTGACCGGGTCGCTCACCATGAGCAGGATAGGTAATTAATTATGCCCTATGGACGTCTTTTTCTTGGACCGCCAAAGTATGCCCAATGCCCATCAATGCACCCAATAAGGCCACAACCAACAAAGCCGATATATATATATATACACCTGGAACCCAATGGACCCCTATTTTGATAGGAGAAGGCCATATTTTGGGTGGTTGGTGGTCCAAAATAGAGGTCATTCAGGTGCTAGGTATATATATATATGCTGCTATACTCCTCCAACTCCAACTGACTACATCTGCGAAAAAACGGCCCGTAGCACCGGCCCGTAGCAACCGAATCTAGAGCCGCCTTGACGAGCTTCTCCACGTGGAGCGGCAAGATCGCCAGGTGCAAGGAGCAGCGATCGCCCGGTGACCTCACTCGGCCCAGGCCTGGAGGGCGCGCGGAGGGCGCGCGGTGCGAAACCTGCGAACGAACGGTGAGACCGTGGGGTGCCAAGCCAACGAGACAGGTCTTTTGTTTATTCTCACGCAACCTGAAGCCAGCATTCAGAAACCAGCATTCAAACAGGTCTTTGTTTCAAGGGAAGGGTGACTGTTTTAGAGCAACGTTGGGCCAATTCGCTTGGAATGAGGCATGTTGGCGTTGGAACCCTCCGAAGACGGAGGGTTCCTGTTCGTCACGTCCACCGTAGAACGAACGACCCCAAAACAAACCAATCACAACCAATCCATCCGACCTACCGTAGAACAATCCTCAAACATATCATTTTGGAAGCAACTCTTGATGTTGTTTTGCCTTGATGGGCTGGTGCTGGCATGCCGTCACCATGCCGATGGTGTTTTTAGCTCGCCTGGTGCGCTGGCAATGGCCAAACCATCCGGACCCAAGGACAAGCTGTGGCCTCAGCCCACACCGTAGAGACGGCTGTTATGCCCCTGTTCCGTTCAGCTGCAAAACATCTTCAGGGAGTGGCCACCTGTAGAGTGGTGCTCGAGTTCAAGGGTGTGCCCCATCTTTACATCATATATCTCATTCACATCAAGCCTATAGGATTATTACGAGTACATTGATGGCATTCGATGGCTATGTATTTCCCTCTTAGAATGCAACTCAGCAGTCTTCCGGAGGCATTGTATGTTCATTCCTATCAATGCTTGAACGTGTAACAACTATATGTTGAACTCTGCGCACGTTTTGTGGGGGTTCAGCCAACCTGTGGGTATTTTGGGGAGCGGGCTTCTTATGGAGCTGTGCTACTATGGACATGGGAGCTGGAGCTGAGCAAGAGTCAAAGGGGCCCAACATGCGGAGTTGATCAACGCCACCGTCCGCACCGGCTAGGACTCACCCGCTTAGCGCCTGGCCGAGGCCGCTCATGGTGATCCGCAGCACCTAGAGGTGGAAGATGTTCATATACCAAGGATGAGATCACTTGGAGGGCACAAACCACAAGCAAGTTGAAGAGAGTCTACTCACCAAGTCATTGCTCTTGGATGCTCCATTTCTTTCATCACCCATCAAGTTGAAGGTGTATGGAATCTCAGCTGCAGTTACTTGAGTGTTTCGTGTCGCTTGCGAACAATCCCAAACACGAACAACAGCCTTCAATGGATACAACATACATGGCCGCTCATGGCTCGCCCACCTCTTTCCGCAAGGCTCCTTGCCAAAGAGTCACCGTGAGGTACGCGTGCAAGGCAGCGCCTCAGCAACCAAGTGAGCTACCCAGCGGTCCTTCACGTCACGTCAAATGAGCAGGATGCAACTCTTTTTGGGAACAAGGTCTAGCAAGTGACAAAGTCTATGGTCTCCTCCAAGTTTTGATCAATGCATGCTCCAATAAAATACGCCACCCAACACCATCAAAAAAACAACACTTGGATCGGATATTGTAAACGTTCTTGTGCCATTCACGCCTCACACATCACCTACACAAGTACCCCGGGCACTCAGTAGGTTGGTCTTGCAAGAGCTGAGAGAGGTCACTCCGTTCCCCACCGAGCTGAAGAAACCGACCCTCTTGGACGAGGCACAAAGGTCTCCGGCACCTGAGAGGCCCAGGATCACCCCGTCACTGTGCGTCTCGGGGCCCTTAGAGCGCACGGATTGGCGCAGATCGGCCGGACGGCTGGTGATGGATGACGGATGGATTTTGATCGATGACTTTTGGCATTCATGGATATGTCGATATATATATATAATGTTGACATATGGATGATGGTGGTGAATTTGCATGTTGTTCTTGCATGTTCTTGCTCTCAGAGTTAAGAGGGGCCAAGAGAAAGCTAGCTCTGTGCACCAGCCAAGTCTCAGCCACCAGTTCGCCATTTCTCTCCAATTGCCACCTTGAGACATTTGAGATTCCGGAGTGGTCTGTGCTGCGATGCGGTCGGATCCAGTTTTGAAGCTGCCATCCATGCCCAAGCAGAGCATTCCCAAGCATTCCCAAGCAACTCTACAACTCGAGATGGTTCACCCACCTGAAATGGCCCAAAATCGCTTTCTTCAGTGACGAAAGACCGCTCGCTCCTCCCGCTTTCGAGACTCCGAAGGGCCATTGAAGCTTGGAGTCTCCACTGGATGCCGTGACGAAGGTCTTCGAGCGAAGAACACAGGCGTAGTTGTGGCAGCCTGGCTGCGCGGCACCGTGCAGGAAACCGAACCAACACGAAGCAACACGAAGCAGCATGTGGCACGAAGCAACCTGAAAACCCAAGCCATGACGAATGACATGCTCAAATTCTTTGTTGGCATCTTTACAGCAACACCGTATTCCAGCCTTGAACATTTGCTGCACTATCGTGCCATATATATATATTTTTGAATATATATATATATGCTATTATTTATATATATATATGCTATTATATGCTATATTTCCAATGCACGTATCGCGTCTCAAGCTCTGCCAGGTTCTTAAAACAACGAGTCGCGGGCCTCGGCTGGAGACTGCAGGCTTCGACCGGCCTGAGACACAAATGACATCTGAGAACTTCTGAACATGTCTGAAGTGGACTTAGGACCTAGGATTTGCAAATGGTCCGAAGTGTTGTTGAATCATGTTCAAAATTGTTCAAAGCTTCATGACTCCTGATTCGTTTCATCTGGCCTCTACGTACCTACCTACCTACCTAAATCTGGACACCCAAACCTCAGGGCTCACCCTCCTCCGGCCGGTCGCACCTTCCAGGAGCTTTAGGGTGCCGGTCGCCACGGTGAAGGTCCAGGCAGAAGCACCCGCACTGAAAAAGGCCTCGGTGTTCTAATATATGATGGGTCATTCACTTCTTCTACTACGTATACGCACCGGCGAGTTTGACTGTGCCGGGGGGGACGCCTGGTGATTCACCTAGCCTCCCCGTCCTCTCGGTCCGACCGGTGAGTTCGTAAGCTTTGTTCGACCCCAGTGGTGACTGGGATAGAACCACTCAGACTGAAACGACCAACAACGGCAAACATCCAGATGTGACATCCAGGTTTCACGTGCGTTCTGTGGGTTGAAAGCCGATTTCACTTAGTGTTCAGGCCACGTACTAGCCATAAAGGGCAGACTCTGGGATGGCCCTCTTATGCCCTCTTCCTTCATCTCCAGGGCTCTCCACTCACCATTCAGACCGGGGTTCGCGCTAGAAACTTCGGATTCCCGAGATCGAAATTCAGCACGTTGGTTTTGAAAGCGTCGGTCAGTCCGCATTCTTCACCCCAGCCATGCAAAAACAGTGGCCAAGTCCTCATTGCCCAGGTTGTAGCTGGAGATGGCCGGAATACCCTCTAACTCGCCCAAGGAGCCCACCGGCTCGATCCTGGCGGTCAAGCTCTGACAGTAGAGCTGGAGGAACATGGGTCTCGGTGTCGTTTAGATAGTATCTCAAGAATTCTCATATCTATTCTCGAGGGCAATTCACACAGTATTATTTCACATGTTTGCATCTCAAGTTTAACGGCTCTGCTCTGATGCAAGGGGTAAGTATAGGTAAGTCTTGGAGAATTACACCGCTAGTAGATGAAATGATTCAAGCATGTGTAGCGTAAACCTTGAAATGGTGACAGTACCATGCCCATCCATGCCCAACACCAGGCCTTGCAAGAACAGTGGCATCATCGCCCTCGTCGCTCACCTCTCCAGGTTTGCTGATTGGATTCAAGTTTGGAGTTGCCTGCGCTAGCCACATTGAGGAGCACATTCCAAGAGTTGGTAGTGTAGGGCGCAGGGGCATGAGAAATCAACCGTATACAAAAAAATAGCACACACACACACACCCATGCACGCACCACGCACTCACGCACGCACCACGCACACGTACACACACACGCACACGCACTGCCGAGAGCCCACCGACCAATCCAACAAGTCAACCATAGAAATCTCCGCTCCAAATTTCGACAGGTCACCAGAAGGCGGACCTGTGTGGAAAACGCTTCGCACTGCTCGCTGGTCAGTACGGCACACATTATTTTTGGAGGCCTAGATCGACCTCATCCACCTCAGCCGAAGCCGCTCTTCATGCGCGGCTTCAGGTCGAAGGGGCCGATTAAGCGCCTGGATGAGCTCAATGCTACCATCCATGCTGGCACAAAGACAAGCCTGTCGTCGAAGGATCGTGAAGGCTCGTCAGGGCTCTCAAAGGGTGGACACTGAGACTGTTCAAGGGGTCAGGGGCATACTAGCAGTCTAAGTGGGTCAACGCTTGCTTGGTATATAGACCTTCTCTATATCACACATATACATAAACTATATATATTTATATATTTATAACCCAAACGTGGAAACAAGGTGGACCATTAAAAACATCAAAGTACCAAATTCTATTGAGCGAAAAGCTGATAAATGGATACATGCTGAGAGCAAGTTTAGAGCAATGGATCAAGAGCTGGGTGCCCGGACCACTTGTGACGTTCGCGGACCGCGGACCGATGAAACGAAGAAGAAGCGGTGAAACAACGAACCACAGCCGAGCCTGCTGGTTGTCTTGGAGGGCGGCTAGGGCAGCAATGCTGGATTTCCCAGTGGCACGAAGTACTTGAGTTTCCTCAGAAGTGAAGCGAAGGCAGCAGCCACAGGTGGTATCAGGTGATCAATCGTATCATGTACCATGACATGGTATGTCCTAGTCCCTCAGTGGATGATGATGGTTCAGTTGCAAGCCGACACCTCTTTAAAAGACAGTGATTTGCTCGTTTACCGACTGTTACAGGTGTTCTGGAACGCCACCAAAGTCGCACACTCACCAAATCATGACGCGATGAGAAGATGACTGGAGTCTTGTGAATCGTATTTGCGGACCTGTGTCTTGAAAAACTCAGTCGTCCACTTCAATCTCTTCATTGCACGAAACCGCCGGGGCAGGGATTCGTCCCCAGCACGGACAGCCCACCAAGGCCCCAGCTCTACGAATCATCTTTCACTTCCTGTCAGTGATGGTCAGTGTTTTTGGGCTCTAAGACTCGCTGAGATCGTCTCGTTGAAGCAGCTGCAGACCTCCTTGGTCATCACCCAACACGAAGGCCTGGGACGCGGTTGATGCCACGAAACCGAAACCGATTCAACACACACAGCCCCAGCATGATCGACGATCTCACAGCCGACCCACCGCAAGCCAGTTCCACGCAAAACGGCGAGAAAGAATGGATATTGGTCGAATCCTGCAACTCTGGAGGTTTTGTCACTAGGATTCACTGGGTCACAAGCGTCCCCTCGGCCTCACACGTGGCAAACTATCGTCCGTGGACGCTGCTTCATGACATTGCAGGGTAAAGTGCATTGAGGACCCTCGGGTGTACGAGACTGTTACACCGCTATATACTTCTTTGCCTCACACACTCTTGACCTTAAGAATCTCTCGCACACTCTACCACACATGCTGAAACAACCCTCCTCCATGCTGCAAAATGCTCAAAACAGCTACATACTAATCCCTGTCTTCTTCCACATCTACTCATCCCAAAGCTTGCGGTATCTCGCAGGAGTCCGTATTTTTGCGATGATCCGGTCCCCTTTTCTCCGCACCTCACATCCCAAAAGAGCCGCTGCTTGCAGAAGGCGGCCCTTTCCGAGTCGTTGCGATTGGGCTAAGATTTGACCTTAGCGCACTGACTTAGACGACCGATGACTACGGCAAAAACCGTGGTCCCTTGCGGCAAACACCTCAAACACCTCACAGAAAACACACCTCAAACACGAAGATGCTGTCAGTTTTCTGGTTGTGAGCCCCGATGACTGATCGGAGCACCGCCCAACGTGCTGAGCTAGATCAGGCCAGTACCCGTCCTTACAAAACAACAATGCGTTTTCTGAAAATGGTTGAAACGTGAGCTTTTCTGCTTGCAGGGTCAAACAGTCTGAGACCGCCAGCGTCCGAGGTGCCAGTGCTGCTGCGGTGACAGCGGACCTCACCACTGTGGAGCAGCGCAAAGGTCACTGAGCCGTCCATGAAAAGCAAGCAAACCTGCAGCTGCTGCAGCTAGGTGGCTGGAAAGAAAAGAGCCAAATGTGAAACGTACTATAGTATGACTGTATTTGGAGACGTCCAAAGGACAGTAAGGAAAGTGGATGATTCTGACAAATCTTTCACGTCATTTCTGTCGTTATTTTTGTGTAATGTTCCTTGTTGGGATGTTTGCATGTTCTAAGCGGATGCTCTTTTCCGTCTTGTGCCGCTTCGTTGAGGTACCAAAGTACTTACAGCACCCTCTTGAGTACAGCAAAAGGCCTTGTGAGGCTCTGCATGTTCCCACTTCTGACATTACCTGCACCATAGAAAAATATTTGCCAAGCAAATCTGAAGGATGCAGGTGATGGCTGGCAAACGTGCACCACTGGGCCGCCTGAGATTCAGCTAGAGTTGGCGATGCGTGTTTGGATCCGAGGTGACATGGCATTTCTCTTAAAATCTGGAGAACTCACAAAATAACCATCATGTTGTCTCTCAGAACGATCTGAACCAGTGGATCGGGTCCCCGACATCCCAGCGGGTTATCTATAGCTATACATATACATGTTGGCGTGCGAACATGCGGGCTTTGCTCCTCATTGAGTGTCATCCCATATCGCTGTGCCAAAGCCCTGCAAGCTATGTTATGTCTCAAAATGCTACAAGAATTGAGTCGAATATGGTGGAATAGTCAACCAACTACATAAAAAGGTTGACCCTACGCAGCCGAGTAGGGAGTAGTCGAGCCATCCCAGAGTCCATCGCCGCAATCCATCTTTCGCCAGTGTGAATGAGTGATGTGCTTTCTCGGGAAACATTGCACCCCGTGGGGGTCGATGAAGCACAGGTCGATTTGCCACAGAAATGTTGCGAACATTCTCAGGACCCATCATCATAAGCGATGCAGATTTGTTCCTCAATCAAAGGTGGAAAGGTTACCCGTGTAGCAAGGTCCCTAAAGAACATGCTTCGGTGACGAGTGAGCCATGGCCATCTGGTCTCAAGATGCACTTCGTTGAACTCAATGAATGGCAAATATGGCAAATGTTTCTGAGACTCACAGTATGGCCCGCTGTATCAAACATGTTGTTGCAACGGGGGGGAGGCTTCCACCTTGATCACTTCTTCCGGATCACGTGTGCTGGGTCGGATTGGCTGCCAAAGCCTTCACCAAACACCAACACTCCAACCTAAGCGATGGCCTCCAACCAACTTAAGAGCGATGGCCACCTAGTTTCAGAATGTTTGTCAGAACCTCTTCATTGTTCCACTTCTGAGGCCTTTTCTCAGCTCTCTCCCTCCCCTTTTCTGACCCAGCCGCATGCGGAGCATGCGGAGCCACAGCCCTGGTTGCCTTTCGCTTTCTCAGCATACAGGGTCTGAGCTGAGAGCATAAACCTCCTAAGCCGCCGTGACAAATTGGACGATGAACGAAGCTGATCGAAGCTGGACAGAGCACTGGACCTTGGCCTTTGATTAATTTGTTCCCTTTCGTGATGTTGGAATTGCGAGACCTTTGGAACCAAAATAGCTAGCACATCTGCACGGGCAAGGGGAAGTGCGCCTTGTCAGCATGAGATCGCACAAATGACGTGGAGAGCAGTTCCTGAAGTCTGCTCCTGGCTGCGTTAGGACACCGTGCCTGTCCTAAAGGTGCCGTGTCAGACTCGGTGCCCCAAACGTGCGAAACAAACGTGCCGTGAAACATCAGTGCCTCTGCACGATACTTGGATTCATCAGGCTCTCCACATACAAACAACACTTGCGGAACGGGATGAAAATGAGGTTCGGAATGGAGCTCCCAGGCCGAACTCAGCTCCTGTGGCATCAGCATAGGCCAATTCTCTGATGCCTTGGGCAATCGGCAGGCAGCCCCAGTCCTGGTGGAACAGTGCCGCACTGTTAGGTGGTGTCTATATGCGAAAAACAATGACAAGCAATGCATATAAAATTGTATAATATATATATATATATATATCACGGTAGTGTATTAATTGAGAGCACATTCAGGAAACACGGTGTCCATTTCAAGACCTGTATCTCAATGAAGCATTCTCCGTCAATCGTGGCAATTTGGGAAACATAGTTCATTGAACATACTAATGTGCAACACCTTGAGGACCTTGACTGCTACCCGTCAAACAGTCCTTGCAAGACATGGTGGCTGACACCTTGGGCAATAGGACTAGTAGCGATGCACTGGATACTAGTAGCGATGCCCTTGCTACTAGTAGCAATGCACTTGTTACTAGGTGATGTTTGGATGTGTGAGGCTCTGAGATAACCTTCACACTCCTTCACTATGATTCAACACGACACGCATAGGATGAGAGTTTTTTGACACAAACATCACACGCACCAGATTTCACCCCAGCCGCCGCACCAAAAGCTCCAGCGCTCCACAAGGTGTCGATGGCCAGTTCCAGCGGCAATAAAGACCAAACATCCTGGCCTGTCCAGCTTCTTGTTCCTAGTAGATCCTTGCTCCTACTAGTAAGGCCAGGAGCCCCTAGTAGCGGCCTTGCTCCTAGTAGCCGCGATGCCGGAGCCCCTAGTAGATTCTTGTTCCTATAGCAAAAAAGACCAAACATCCTGGCCCGTCCAGTCACAGTCTCCCCGCGGGGTCAATGACGACATCCGAACGAAGGAGATCCTCGCCTTGCATCCCGGCCGACAGAAACCGTCGTGCGGCATCGTGATCCTCGTAGTCGTAGACGGCTCGCTCGCCACCTGGCAAAGACACATCATTCACCTGGACCAATCTGGACCCCATGCGTGCAAGACTTGTTGGAAAAACACTTGCTGACTCTTTGGAGGGGTACTTCTTTGCACTGATCTTTCAATCGATTTACTTTAGGGCTCTTTATGGGAAAGACAGCTGCTTCGACGCCCACCGCAGCGTCACGCGAGAAAACGCTGCTTGGAGTCAAGTCACACAGGACGAACGCAATATTTTCCGACGCCGACTCCAGTGCAGCCTTTGGATCACCATGGACCTCGCGTGAGATCGTTGGTTTGGGATGGTTTGGGAGGATGTTCGGAGCTGCGACGGGCTCGCCTCTCAGGGTTCGCCCACAGGGTAATTTTGATGGCTAACCCAATGGCACGGCCCAAAGAAGGAGGCGGCCGACTGTTTTAGGGTCTTTTAGGGCATGTGCAGCCTGCGCAGCGGTGCCCAATTCCAGTTTGAGGCAGAGTCTATCACTTTTTTAGTAGAAGTGGCAGCCCTCGGAAATTCGAACATGAAGCGGCAAGCTTACTCAAGCAGGGGCCGAAGGCCCGAAGTCTGAGAAAGAGCCGTTTGCTCGGCCATGCAACTCTAGAAGAGCATGCATACTGCCCACGTTTGGGTGCTGGTGTTGCTGCACGATCGCGATCCGGCAATCTCTCAGGCCTGTGACACTGATGTTTCATGATGCCGGGAGACGTTCGTTTTCGTCTCATCCTCATCCTCAAGAAGCTCAGCCGAGGAGCGTGGGGAGGGAAGGTGGCAAACACTTCATCTTTGGATCTTCAAACCATGGAGCAGCTCCATGTGGCTGAAGGACGGCCGACCTAGCCGGTAAGGAAAAAAAGGCACTGCGCCAATGGACCCTCCACAGTTCCTGCCGCGGTTGGTTCGCGACCCAAAGCGGTGTCCTTTGCCATGTGTTCACTGACAGGAATGGATCGAAAGAGCTGCCCCACTTGCCGTGAGGCATCTGGTGACCGGCGACCGGAGCGACCTCCACGGGCGACGACTGACTTCAGTCTCTTCAGAGTGATCCACCAGGAGCTTGGTGCATCGGCGCGTCCAACTCGCTGCTCTTCAGTTGCAGATTGGCTCGCAAATGGGGAGGTAGCTTTGATTTTGCTTCTCCCCCCACAGTCGAACAAAACCCTTAGAGTTGGCTGAAGCCGCCATCAAAACTCTCCTCACAGAGAGACACATCAAATGCATGCTAGGAACTCTGCAAAGTCCATCTAGTCACTTAGTTTACAAGCTTGTAGCCACTGCATTGTCAATTATGCAGCCATCCATATTCTTCCCTCTACCCTTGACCCCAATGTTATGTCGGGCACGCCAGCCATAGATACAAGGAGCCAAAATAACTTATAAAGCAAAAACAAAAGGTAAAGCATGTTCAGGTTCATGTGCTTTTGTTTTGCTTTTTTTTCCCGCGTTTTTTTCACAAAAACAAATTATTTGATGGTTGGTCATGTATGGCTGCCACTGCCCAACATAACCCCAATGGCTTTCTCCGGACACCTGGCATCCCAAGTGGCAAGCCCAGGCATGGCAGCCCCACGCCGCGCGCGCAAGGAGTATCTGGAGAGGTCCAAGTCATGCCGATGTCGGCACTGAGCTCCCCATTTGCCTCGAGGGTCGAACACCCGAGGACGCCCAAACCGATAGGTCTGCCGACCGATAGGTCGAAGGACTGTCTGACTGCAGTGTCTGAGACCAACATGCAGACACTGCAGTCAAACAATCCTATGGCATTGCCATAATCTTATGGCAAACAGTCTATTGACATGACATATCAATAATTTAAATCTTATGGCTGTTGCCTGATGACACTGCCTGACTGGACCCTCCCGACGGTTCTTGAGGCGAGCAAACCAACCATTTCCCCGCACAAGTAGTAAAGAACACATCGCAACACACCGCTTCTGCATCGTTGCCAACACCTCAACGTTGTACCTCCCAAGTCCCCCCGCGTGTTTAATTAGCTACTGTATTGATCTTCGATGATCTTCGTGATCTTCCAAGCTCCAGCTCTTCACCCAAGTCCCAACTCTGAACGTTTCACCCCTAGTTCTGTCCCAAGTCCCGAGCTGATTCTGCCAAGAGTCAGGTACCTGTTCGAACCCAGAAACGACAAAGCACCGCTTCTCCGCCATTGGGCTCAAACTGAAAGACCTGAATTATCTCACAGTCTCACAGAATGCAAGAAATACACAAACACATGATTAGAACTATCTATCATACATTTACTTATACATCCTATTAGTTTTAGATAGACTTAAAAACCAGGCAGGCAAGGGATGGCTCTCTGCATTTGGTCCGCTTTTTGGAATTGCCGCTGTCTGAAGCAACATGTCCCCTGAAATCGTTCAACACTTTCCAAAAACGAGCGGCATGACAGCATATGACAACCTTACGCATATGCCAATAAGGTAACTACAACGAGCGACATGCGTTTTCAAGTTGGGTTTCCAGGTCTGAAACGGTTTCGCCATCCGTTTATCAAGCACTGGTGAAACCCAAGTAAGCCAAAACCTCGTCGACAAGTGGTTTGACCGGTGGACCTCCACAGCAAAAAATGGCACAGGTGTCGCCAACACGCGGTAAGCTCACTCATGGCTGAGATTGCCAGGGATCAGCCGATTGGATTTTCAAGTGCCGAGCACAAGCACATCCCCATTCCCTGGTCAAACGCCCACGCCCTGACCGAAAAGGGTACAGTACGGGTGGATACCCTACAGTAGTACCAATACTGTTCCAGCCATATGAAGAGCTCCAGTGACCTGAAGATTCTCAGGATCCTCGCCAAACGCGGCCTGTAAAGCCTGCTGAACAGAGATTCGCTCAGCCATTGCACAAACAGGAATGTTGAGCTGGATGTTTCTGATCCCTTGTGCCATACATGTAACCAATGTAACCTGAAACCACCCAAAACTTGTGACCTTTCCTGCAGGGATCTGGGACTGCGTGTTTTGAGACCGGAGTGGTCGGTGAATTTGAGTCAATTTTAGTGTTGATTCGTCAGGTACGATTTATAACGATTTGACCATGACCTTTGCCTAGTATATATCTACAACCACGGGGCGTTCGGGCGGGGAGCACAGGAATTCCTGTGCTCCGAAAATGCCCAGGAGACAGAACACCCCTAGACTAGAGCCCAAACAACAGTGCACATTGCGGCGAAGTCAGCTGAATTCATTTGACGCATCTCCCAAAAAGATGGATTGGTGTCACTGAGCCATCCTCAAGCCCTGAAGTCTGGTTCCATCTTTTGAGGAAGGGTGCTGAGTCCAAGTCGAGAAAGTCCAATGCAAATTGACTGCTACATTGATGGCAACAAAGCAGCCATAGCATGGTCAACAAAGGAGAAAATCGTCGCACCAACTTCTCTGGGCCTCTAGATTCTCAAAGGGCCGATAACATCCCGCACTCAACCCTCAGATGAGACCCCTCTAATGGTCACCACATCGTGAACCTGCGCGCGAATGTTTTGTAGAAAACTGCTTCTGACTGCAATGAACGACTGTTTTCTGAGCTTCTCTCAAGGCCAGTTCTGATTCCGGCGGCAATTTGAAGTTGCAAGATTCAGGCACGAACAGCGCATCCCTGCAAAAGGTTGTCCAAGTTCTTTCCCCGGCCACGTAATTTCGACCTCATAAGATTGAATCGTTCTTGCTCTCTTAGCAGATGTCAATCATGTTGAAACGGTGCATGAGATGCATCTGGGAAAAGCAACCAAAACAGTACGAGAAGGACCTTGCGATCAAGCATCGCTCTACCATCAGCGATCGAATGATGGCTTTCTGCTTCTCTGTCAGCACGACTTGGTCAAAAAGGCTTCTGCACCGGGCACTTGTGGAGCTGGCCTCCCTTGACCCAGAAATTAAAAACAATACATTCCATATATATATATATCTATCATATATATCATATATATATATCATATATACTATACATATATATCCATAATATCATTCCTTACCATGCTGTTCAAGGCCGCAAATGCCCGTGCTCCAGGCGCCCGGTGCACGATCTCTTCGATCCGCCTCTATGCAATAAAAAGCGACCGAGGCAGTGGCCCCGATCCGCGGCGGGCCGGGTTTTGGGTTGAAATCCGCGAAGGTACGAAACAGAGCGAAATAGAGCGAACTGTTCGCGAAATAACACGGTTTGAAATGTCTTTGATCTATTCATCCTCTCAATTTGCATGGAAATAGCTCTTCTTTGATCTTTCCTGGGTCCGGGGCCAGCACAGCACGCAGCTGTGACTAGATAGTAATTACCAGGTACGCCACTCAAGAAACGCCCGGCTCACCATCTGATTTAGGCGCGTCAATCCGTGCAGCGAAAATGCCTTTGGACCCCAAATGGCCAATCTGCTGATGATCGCAAACAAACATCAGAACCGACATCACCATCCATCAAGAGCCCAAAGATTTAACGTCCTTCGCCATGGCTGTGCAGTTGCAGCTTGGGAGAGGAAGGCCGTTTGTCTTTAGCACATACGTGTGGCGTAGAATTTCTCAGATCGCCTAAGTATCCCTGGACACCTTGATATTATGTAAGGTTACCGTGTTGGCTGAACACATCAACATGCTGTAAAATGTTTAGAGCACTGTTTGGAGCATCTTGTCTGGGTCCAAAGGTCATGGATCTCCAGGTTCGGCCCTCACAATCGAAACAAACCTAGCATCCTCAGCTTGCGACCAACACAAAATATGCAAAAGCAAGGGGCCATGACCCGAGTACTAGAGTACCTATTATTTTAAAAATAAACTCATGTCGGACCCCCTGCTAGCACGGTTTACTGTTGTTCTTCAACTATGCCCAACTCGCATTCCTCCGGGCGGGTCACACCCTCGGTCACCCCGACTTGGGCGTTCCCGGCACCGCTCCGGTCTTGCTTTAAAGGGAGAGGCCATGGTGGTTTTAATGGGTGGAAGGGAGAAGACAAATAGATCAATCCTCAATTGGTCAAGTCAATAGAGCCAATGTGTCCATGGAACTTATTCATGGGCACCACTATGAATGGGTACTTGCAGTCAATTGGGATAACCGTTTCTACACAGAAATGGAAGCAAATCACATCCATGGAAGTGCCTTCATCTCCACAGCAAACAGCCGGCATTGTAGAAAAACAACCCAAGCGCTATATGTTCACAAGTCCTTCGTGCAGGGTCAAATGCCAAAGACCTGCATCTAGCCGGTGTAGATGCACCGCTTGACTCACTAACAGCTCTCCGGATCTAACAGCTCTCCGGCTTCCGCCCAGGACGGTCAGTCTGCCTTCGACTTCAGGGGCTTAGACCGACTTCGCCAAGGACCAGGGACGTCCGGAAGCAAATTCCGGGACGTCCCGTGGAGTCGGAGGCTCGGAATCCAGGTTCATGTGGGCACAAGGAGCGATCGGACGCTACGAACGGGGCTCCTGGCATCGCTACTAGGAACAAGAATGTTACTAGTAGCAAAGGGCCTTACTACTAGGAACAAGGTTCGCTATTAGAAAGAAGAACAAAATATCTAATTAGAATCCAGAATTAGGCCTAAATGTGTTTGTCTGCTTCTTAGTTTCTTCCTCAAGGCATGGCCGGATCGTGGCCGATTTGAGGCCATGAGTCGTCCTTCTCAGGTTCCCATACATGGTTCCCATATGTAGTGGATACAGAAACACCCCCCAACAGGTCTGGTCTCCTATGATGGTTTGTTTTGCAGACTTCGAAGTACCTGTTGCAAGGTGCTGATGGTATGCGGCATATATATATATTATATTACAGTATACATTAGTATTTATTTGATATGAATAGACTAGATCAATATAGATCATATATCTGTGATTATCTGTGTGCGTCCCACGGTTCGATGATCTGCGAAACAGCACGGGTACCCTTTCCCGGTACCGTTTCGAAGGCACTTCTTCTCTGCTCCGGCGGGTGCCATCTTCGGTGCCGGCGGCCCCGCGCGGAGCTGTGAATCTGTTCTGCACATGAGGAGCAATTTGCCACCGCCAAAACACATCCAGTCAAATGATCAATTACAGTATAGTTAAAGAGATGATTCCTTCGACTCCTTGACTCTTCCCGGAAACACCGACCATCACTGACGACAGCAATGACAGTCAGTGTCATGGCCATTGCTCCTCCATCTTCGAACTCGCGGTGAGCAAACTCACCCGCCCGGCGTTTGGGGACCAACTTTCGCCCCAGTGGTTCCACAATCCAACAACCGATTTGAGGATCATCCTGCATCCATTCTAAGACTCTACGCTGGTAGCTCAGTAGATTGGACATGATTGGACACAGTTTTTCACCGGGCTGTGAAGCATCTCTTCTCACCTTGATCGCTTCAAAGCAGAGTCTAGAGATTCACTGCACACCATGGATCGTTCGACCCCCCCCAAGCATGGATCGATGCGCCGGAAACATGTGTCAAGTACTCAATGTCTAAGACTTCTTGAGCCTACAATGTCTTGGCCAACCTCATCCATTGATGGCTGACCGTTAGCTTCCGGTGCTGGATGGTTTCTTTGCTTGAAATTCTTGAAAGATTTCCTAGTCTCACCTACGAGTCGAATCTTCCTAGTCGGAGATGACCACATGCAGCAATTACCTCACAAAGAGCCAACACCCAGGTTCTGAATCCAACACCGAGCCAACGACATGACCTGCATTATCATTATTCACAAGTGGAAAACGCCCACTTGAAAGCCAATTGTGCTCACAATGGCCACGCTGAAGTACACAAACTTTTGGAGCACCTCGGTAAGGTTGGATGATCCAACGACAAAACCAAGTGGCAAAGAATGGCTTGACCCAAGCTATAACTTCCGGGAGCAATTGTCAAAACAAGAAGCTACTAGTAACAAGTGCCTCGCTGGTAGTAACAGGTGCCTCGCTAGTAGTAACAAGAAGCTATTAGAAACAAGAAGCTACTAGGAACAGGCTTAAATTGTAACAAGAAGCTAGTAGAAACAAGTGCCACGCTAGTAGTAACAGGTGCCTTACTAGTAGTAACAAGTAGCTAGTAGAAACAAGTGCCAACCATGTCCTATACGGAGAACTCCCTGCGACGACCAGGGGGTTCTCCAAGAGTAAACAGTCGTGTCGGACGTGGTGGGGCAAACTTAGCCATTTGGACGACCTAAAAAAAAGCTAGCCATGCCCAAATAGACCACATATGACCACATGACCTCCGTTGCAGTTTTCACATGCGCAGTTTCCATATCTCCAATCCGACGGCCCAACACCAGATACGGCGCGGTGCAACAAGGCCAAGACACCCCGATACTGACACGAGTATCCCACATGAAGAAACCAGATTCCTTGGCTGCTTCAGTCTGGATGTGAGATGGGCTCGGCCAGGGCTCTTGTCAAGCAAGACTCTGAATCCTACCCCAATCGTCCAAGGGTCACAAAGCGTGAAGAAGTGTGCCAGCTCTAAGAACTTCTTTTCCTCCTCTTCCTCTGCAAGTTTGTGGGGCAATGCTGCACGGAAAAATCTGTCGATGATTGATCGAAGTCACGGTCTTGAGATCTCTAAACAAGAGTTGAAAAAAAAAATGCCTCGCATCGACCCGATGGATGGAAGGAAAGAAACTCAACCGGATCGGATGCGATTGCGAAGTCGTCCTCATCCCCGTCCACCATGCTCACCAATGATGGGAGCCGGGTACCTCAGTCGAAGAGTCACCAAATGTCAGCAGGTGTATACGATGAGTGCACTAATAATCACTGTGGGATGTCAAGTCGTAACCGGCCACCGGTCTTGTTTGATCTTCTCATGCGAAGACCTTCTCATCTCAGTTCCGTCTCGGGGAAATCATCTCTTTCTCGTACATTCTCTGAACTCACCACCTGATCTGCTTCCAAGGCAGAGTGAGCCGTTGCGGAGGCAGC